TCTGTCTCTCTCTGTCTCTCTCTCTCTCTATATATATATATATATATGTATAAAATCTTGATCATTTTCAGTCCCTCTCCTCCCATTTTATCTAATTTTATAAAATATTTCCCTACTTACCAAAAATGCAGGTGGAAAAAGAAATTCAGGTGGTTTCCAGTTTTCACAACTACTGCCTATGCAGTGGGTGACTCATTGATTTCCCTGTTTCCATTCTTGTCTTCCTCCCTCAGTGACGGTGAAATTGTGAAGGGAGTGGAAGAAATGTGTCTGTGCTTCCTTCCAGCACTAAAGTTCTGCTGTAGCCACTGTGGACCCCGAGTCCCCTGCTCATGCAGAACTGGAACTTGAGGCTCGGCCTGGAATGTGGTGGATGCAGAGGAAAGATGGGAGGAATCCTTTGCACTCATTACGTTGGCGGGACTGAGGAAGTTCTGCGTGGGTCCTGGCCTCCTGGCATGGCATGTTCAGTCAGTCAGTCAGTCGCCCAGTCCCTGAGCACTGTCAGACTTGCAGGCGCTGGATGCATACTGGTGCCCTCCCTCCCAACCCAAAGCCAGGCACCCAGCCCCACCAAGCAGCCTACTCCGGGCCTTGCATGTGCCTGGTGGGCGAAGTGGGTGCTAAAAGTGAGTCTACCACAGCTTAGCTGGTGATGGTGAACCTTTTAGAGTTTTCAATGATACGAACAGCCGGCTGTGGCACGTAGGTTCACCACCACCGGCCCCTAGGCAGAGCCCTCCCGGCCCTTGGCCTCCCTGAGCCAGCCCTGCCTTTTCTTCTCGCTTTCTGTCCTTCCGGGGCCTGGTCAGCAAATGGTTGACCACTGCACCTCACACACTACATCGTTCATGCATCATTTATTATTTGCCCTGTTGGGTGTCTGTCTTCTTCACTCTCCACGGACAGAGATTTTATCTGTCTTTGCAGTTCTGTGCCCCCACCCTCAGCACGGTGACTGGCACCTTATAAATGCCTGTGAACGTAGATGAGCGTGACTCTTGCAGCTAACGCCAGTCAGATGTCCTGGGTCATAGGCCTGCATGTTTGACACTTTAATAGCTGTCAACTTCCCTCTAAAGTGACAAAACCCAAGCCCATATTCACTCCTGCTTGTTATTTTACCACATTTTTGTTTTTAATCTTTTTTGAGAAGGGCTCTCACTATGATGCCCAGGACTTGAACTCGAGGTGATCCTGCTGCCTCAGCTTCCCAAGTGCTGGGATAGAGCATGTGCCTGCTGATGGGTTTTAACTGTGCTTACAGCAACTGTTGAGCACCCTTTCATGTGAGTTTTTATTTGTTTTTTTTTTTCTTTTTCGTGGCAGGGTTTTGCTGTATATTCCAGGCTATAGGAGCTCACTACATAGCCCGGGCTGGCCTTGAATTCACAGTGGTCGTGATCCTTCTGACTCAGCTTCCTGAGTGCTGGGATTACAGGCATGTGCCACTATGTTTTTGTCCTTTTCCACTGATTCCCAGATATTGTTTATTTGCATTTTGGGTTCTAATTCTTTGTTGTCTGTGTTGTAAATATTTCATCTTTTAGTCTTTTTGTTTGCTTGGTTACTTTTCTTTTATTAAACAAATTTTTTAATTTTTGCTTTTGTTTGTTTGTTTTGGTACGGGGATCCAACTCCGGTCCTTGCACTGGCAAGGCAGGTAGTGGAACCACTAAGCTAAATCCCCAGCCCTTAATTTTTGCTTTTGTCACTCTTTTCCCTTATGTCTTAAAAATTTCCAAGATGGGGATGTGTCTCAGGGGTAGAATATTTCATATATATATGAAACTCCAAAGTCATAAACATTTCTTTTAAAAATTTTAAAATATTTGATTTAAAAAATCTTCAGTGTTTTTTTTTGTTGTTGTTGTTTGGTACCAGGGATCAAACTCAGGACCTTGCACTTGCCAGGCAGGTACTGTGCCACTGAGCTATATCCCCAGCCCTCTTCAGAGTTTTAATCCACTGGATTTTTTTTTTTTTTGTAAATGGTGTGGGATAAAAATCTCATATAATATTTTTTCCAAATGAAAACCAAATGGACTGGGCATGGTGGTGCATGACTATAATCCAAGCACTCAGAAGGCTGAGGTAGGAGGATCTCAGAGTTTGAGGCCAGTCTGGGCTACATAGTGAGTTCAAGGCCTCTCTGAACTACATAGTGAGAACTTGTCTCAAAAACAAAAACAAAAACACATGTCGCAACTTCATTACTTACCTGTTTTTGTCCCTTACATCTGACTTAAAACTCTATTCAGCATTTACTGAGTTCTTTCTATTTTTTTTGGTACTGGGGATCAAACTCGGGTCCCCGTACTTGCAAGGCAGATGGCAGACCACTGAGCTAAATCCCCGGCCCTACTGAGTTCTGATATAGACGAATCTCTTCTGATGTTTTCTTCTCTAAATTCTATGGTTATACTATAGTTTAAAAGTGTTTTTGGTCCTGGGGATTGAACCCAGGGAGCACTGAGCTACATCCCTACACCTGGTTTGTCAAATTTATTTTGAGATAGTCTCTATTGCGATCCTCTTGCCTCAACCTCCCAGACTACTCACTATTCCAAGGGTCACAAGTTCGAGGCCAGCCTGCACAATTTAACAATTTAGAGAGACCCTGTCTCAAAAAAAAGGAAGAAAGAAAAGAAAGAAAACCAAAAAAAGCCAAGGTGGGGGAAGGCCAAGGATGTAGCTCAGTGGGAAAAGAATGGTCTGGGAGGGGCACTTTTAATTGTGGAAAATTTGTTGTTGTTGTTTGTTTTATTTTGTTTGAGCTGGGGTGTTGCCATGTAATTCAGACTAGCTGTGAACTCACTAGTCCAACCTGGCTTCAAGTCCTCTTGCCTCAGCCTCTTGAGGGCTTGCTTTTTTTTTTTTGGTACTGGGGATCGAATTTGGGACCTTGTGCTTGCAAGGCAGGTGGCAGAACCATTGAGCTAAATCCCTGGCCCTTGTTATTGTCTTTTGAGACAGGGTCTTGCTATATGTTCCAGGCTGGTCTTGAACTCACTTTGTAGCCCAGGCTGGCCTTGAACTTCTGAGCAATTCTTTTGACTCAGCCTCCTGAGCACTGAGATTATAGGTATGTACCACCACACCCAGCTTTTTTTTTTTTTTTTTTTAGGTTTTTGAGACAGGGTCTCACTATGTAGTGAGACTGACCTAGAACTCACTATGTATCCTAGGCTGGTTTTGAACTCATAGGGATCCTCCTGCCTCAGCCTCCTGAGTGTTGGGATTACAGGTGTGGGCCACCAGGCCTGGTTACACCCAGCTTTAATTGTGGAATTTTTTTTGAATTTGTGGCTAATCTTATTTCATCTACAGATCTATTTATTTCCCTTCACTATATACTCCCAACTATTTTTTAAGGCAAATTCTAGAGTCATTTTGATATGTTATCTCTACAACACAAAGATACTTAAAGAACAAAACCCTAGCACTTTACTTTTTTAAAGAAACTTGGATTTTTCATCTTATAGCATTTCCTCGTCTAGATTTTGTTGATAACACCATAGTGTGAATCACCCAAAGTATACTTTAAAAATTACTATAATTTCACAAATTAATATGTATAAAATATAATGTGTCAGTCCTCAATTAAAAGGAATGTCCATAGCTAAGTATGGTTTTGTCATTCTAGCACTCTGGGAAGCTGAGGGAGGAAAACTGCAAGTTGGAGCCAAGTCTGGGCAATTTAGCAACTTAGACCCTATCTCAAAATTAAACTTTTTTAGTGATGGCAGTCTCGCATTTATTGTAGGAGCCAGGCATGATGGTGCATACATGTAATCTCAGCACTTGGGAGGCTGAGGCGGGAGGATCCCTCTTAGGCCAGCTTGGAATACAGAGTGAGTTCAAAGGCAGCTTGAACTACATATGGAGACTCTGTCTCAAAAAACCAAAATAAATAAATAAATGAATTAATGAATGTAGGAAAAAACAAACTCTGAGAATGAGTTTGGGCCAAGTAACAGTAGGAAAATAGGAGAAAAAAATTTAAAAGATATAACTACAGAATAGGGTGGGCTATGGGCTACTGTGAGGAGACATGATAGCCTTAATAAAACTTTTTTTTTTAAATCAGGAATCGAACTTGGGAACTTTCTTTGAATTTTTGTTGTTGTTGGTTTTTTTTTGTTTTTGTTTTGTTTTGCTTTTTTGCTTTTTTGAGACAGGGTCTCACTATGCAGTTGAGTCTGACCTGGAACTCACTATGTAGCCCAGGCTGGTATCAAATTCACAGTGATTCTTCTGCCTCAACCTCCTGAGTGCTGGGATTGATTACAGGCGTGCGCCACCATGCCTGGCTCGAAATCCTTTTGTTTTCATTGCTGTTATCATGTTCTCATTGATGATTTATAAAAAGAACATCAATCGGATCCCATCTCCTCACTTATGTAATTTGAAGCAAGTTTATCCAACTTTTCTGAGCTTTCGTTTTTATTTTTACAACACGGAATAATAAAGCGCGGGATGCAGTTGGACATAACATCCAAGAAAGCATGCCTCTGAGCCAGCTAAGGCCAATGCAGACTGCAGTGCGTCGTCAGATGCCTACACCAATGGGAAGAAAGCTGGGGCCAAGTCTATGTTGCAGGTAGGAGAATCCGGGATAAAATTAATTCCTAAAAATATGCAGGACACAACGTACCAACACAGCAAAGATAATTTAAAAATTCATTAAAAAAAAAAAAGACTTTCTTCTCTGAATGCTTTCGGGGAGGTGCAGGATCTAAATGGACTCTGCACTTCGGGAGGCATCACCTTTCCTAAGTAGGAGGGAACTCCGGGTTTTGTAGTTCCATCCTCACAAGAGTCGAACGAGCAGGAGACTGTATTTCCCAGAAGCCTCCGGGCCTTTTCTTGCTGGCCCGCCCCCTGACTTCCGGCGTCACTGCGTTGTCTAGATCCAATCAGGAGGCCAGAATTGATCATTCTTGACGCTCTGATTGGTGCATTCGACTAGACTGCCTGGGTTCAAATTTTCAACGGTACTGAGTGAGTACCGCGGCGAGCTTGCGGCGTTTCGTCGTAAGAGCTGAGCCTAGGCGCGGCGAGGTGAGCTTTGGGTGGAAAAGGGCGAGCAGTCAGTGGTCAGGGTTCTCCTCTCCCGAATTTTCAGACGTGTGGTGGTCGGCTTCCAACCCTCAAGGCCATCCGGACCCCTAGACTCGGCTTCAAGGCGGTTGCTGGACTGGGGTGCCGCCTAGGCGGGGCAGGGTTGGCGCCGGGCTTCGGGCCTCTCGTCTTCGCGAAGGGTCTTTGCCTTGAAGCCTGTCCTTTATATAGGGAAAAAAGGATTACTGGAGAGAGACCGCTGGCCGAAAATAACGGTAATGACGATTGTTATGCCATGCTAACATGTAAGCCTTTAACTGGACGAAGCAGTCTGCGTGTGCGTTCCCACTTAATTTTCGCATCAACCATTGAATTAGGTTTTATCCTTAGCACCACTTTACGGAGAAGGAAATCGAGGCCCACACTGGATAAATTTCTGTAAATGATTGTAATAGTAGCCCTGTCCGCGTTTGGTAGCAGAAAAACAGACGTGGTCACAAACAACTACATTTCAGAACTGCTGTGTAAGATAGGCAAATTAAATTAGATGGTGCGAGAACGTAAGTGAGACTTTAATTCTACTTGGAATTGTCTTTCATTTGGAATTAAAAGTCATTCTGTGTTACCCCTCACCCTTTGTATCGAGTCACTCTTACTACCTTTGTGAGTTACATATAACATTTATGGATTGGAGGAGAAAGGGAAACCAGGTTATATAATGTATGATTGGTTTGTCCACTATTTTTCTTTCTCCTTTTCTTTCTCTGTGTGTCTCTGTGTCTCTGTGTGTGTGTGTTTATGGTGGGCATTGAACCGCGAGTCTTTGAACAGAGCCACCTCTCACCACTTAAATTTTATTTCAACACTGTCTTACCAAATCACTTGAGTTGCCCAGGCTAGCCTCGAGCTTGTGATCTCCTTGCCTCACCCTCCCACTATTTTGTTGATAAATGATTTTTTTTCACATATTTCACAATTTTTTTAGTAGTTCACTAGCCAACGCTCCCCCAAACTAGTCCTGCTTAGCATAGAAGAGGAATTTTGACTCCCTGATTTTGCTTGAAATCAACTTCATCTGTAGGATTTATTTCCTTAGAGTTTTAACCTTGTCTTGACATCTCATAGGCTTTCCTTGAATTTCTCTCACTCATTAGATGTCAAAAATAGAACTATTAAAGAAAAAAAGAACATTAATATATTATACTACCTGTCAACGCATCCCCAAATCATATTGCAGTACACTTGGTTGGTTTGGGTGTGTCTGTTTAGTATTAAGTTGTCATTCTTGGTTCAAAACCTATTGTGCTTCCAGCTAACTTGTTCAGTTTGAGGGTATATACATTACTCAGATTGGTGTTAGATACTGTGAGTATACAGACAGATGTGTGGGATGTGTGGTGTAGTAAAAGGTTTTCTCATATGCTTGGGGACAAAAGATTGATACAAATGACTATCAAACCAAGACAAAACAGGCTCTGAGTGCTCTACAGTTTGGTAAGTGTTGTGGTAAGTTAGAAGTGAGGGAGATCAATGAGGCCTAAGACAGGCCTAAGTGGGTTGTAAAGTAAGTGGAATAAAACCTGGCTCTTGAGAAGCAATTTGGTTAGACTAGAACAGTCTGTGGTTATGGAATCACCCACTGAATATCTGTTGATTGGATAGACCAGAGGTATTGTCTGAATTGATCACAAAATTGTAGGTATGGAAATTTGGATCATATTCAAATAGGTTGGTAGACTTATTTAAACTTTTTATTATTTGAGACAGGATCTTGGTGTGTACTCCAAAATGGCCTTGAACTCACAGTGATCCTCTTGTTTCAGCTTCCCCAATGCTGGGATGTGCTGCCATGCCTGGCCAAATTATTTACATAAAATGAGGTTATTTTGGTAATGATTACGCTTAAATATATGTGTATTTTAGCCTTTATAAAATTAATTTTTTCTATGTTTGTGACAAAGCTTGTTCAGGAGAAAGAATTATGTGGGAAAGTTCTTCATTTCTTTTTTAGGTTCTAGAAAGGATTTAGAGTTATATATTCCCTTTGTTTTTTTTTGTTTGTTTGTTTTTGTTTTTGTTTTTGTTTTTTTGAGACAGGGTCTCATTATGTAGTTGAGACTGACCTGGAGCTCATAATGTAGCCCAGGCTGGTCTCAAACGCACAGCAATCCTCCTGCCTCAGCCTCCTGAGTGCTGGGATTACAGGCGC